AGGCAAAATGATGAGTGTAGCCAGGAACAACATCGGCTGTTTAAGGAGCCTCATGGGAACTCTTGGTGGTAAAATTATAGAGTCTAAACATAAGTAATTTTATGTATTTTGAAAAGTGGTAGTTTGAAAAAACAAAAGGCCAGATTAAAAATAAATATAAGAAAGAACAATTTAAATACAAAATACAGCAGAATCTCAAAACTCAGTGGACCATTTAACAACATTGTAAACCATTGAAGAATTAGTATAGCTCAAAACAAAAATGAAGGAAGTGATCTAGATGAATGATTGACAGATAAGCTAAGTCACAAAGAAAAAAGTAATATTTAAATTTATATCTAATAAGTTTTCCATAAAGATCAAAGTGGGAAGGAATGAGAAATTTTCCCCCAAAAGATGAAAGACATCAACCCACATATTGAATAATCCATAAAACTAACTAGGATAAATAAAATGAAATTTAGATTTAGATAAATCATTGTAACACTGTTGATCACCAAAAAAAAAAGATTTTTAAAATAATTTTTCTTCAAAAATACTGCCCTTAAATGAGCAGAGATTAGACTTCTGTTCACCTTCCAAGCACAGCAAAGGATGACAGAAGACACTGGAAGAATAGTTTTCTTCCATGAGATGAAAGAATAACTGCTAACTGAATTCTATAGATTAAGTTATTTTCAAATTTAAGGAAAAACAGTTTCAGCAACAGAAACTAGAGCAGTTTGGTAACAACACACCCTCTTTTAAGAAAAAAAATAAGTATTCTAATCAAATATAAATGGCTTCCACATGGAAATTCCAAGATTGAAACCAAAAAACATAAAAATTTGAAAAAATGTGAATAATAATAAAAAATAAAGCTAATCCTCCATTGATTAAATAAAACATTAATACTCTCCTCAAGTTGCAAAAGGAATAGAATTAATGTGCACAAAACATTATCCTTTGAAATGTAAAAAATAATTCCAAGTATGTGATGCCAGAGACCCACTTCCAGATTAAAACGCTAAATGACATAAATTCTTAACATACTAAATACCTGACAGCTCATCTGTAATGGAAATTGGCACACAAATTTAGAGCCACTGATTTAAACCATAGGGTTCATTAGATTCTTCAGGTTACAAGCTGTGTACCCTGGAAGAATCTAACAGTTTTTTAAAAAGTTTTGTTCTTAAGCTCCCTCTCTTAGTATATAGGTTGTTAGACTTCTGTCAGTCCTCTTGAAATGGATAGAGATGCTCTACATTTTAGAGATACATACGAGAGAACTGGCCTTGTGTACCAAAGGAAACTTGAAATCTTATAACTACTTTTTGTTTTATATGTCTAAAATATTTATATTTTAGAAGATTTCTGGGTGATAAACTATAAACATCCTAATATATTATCATCTGCTCTTAAGTTTCTGATATAAATTCAAAAAAGTCCAATCAGTTTACACAATAGATTATGTCTTCAGACATTTATTTCCAGGCACTGAGGAGTCAACCAGTTTATTGAGCAAGGAAGTAATATAATTACAGCTATCCTTTTAGACAATTCTGGAAGTGGTCAACATTTTGTTTTGTAAGAGTATAAACCGCTTAACCACTGAAATTCAAGAGTAAATCTAAAAGAATGTACCATATCTTTCAAAATAATTTTTTTCTGCTTTCTCACACTTGTGTGATACATAGATCACATGTGCGCACACATTTTTATGAAGATCACTATTTTAGAGAAATACTTATTATTATCAGTACTGTTTCTTAATCAATTCTGCTGGTGATATTTTGTTGTCCTGGTTTCCATTTACTTTCATTAAGAATCTATTAGAACAAAGAGCTTTTTATTTTACATTGAATTAAAATCCATTTAAGTTGGATTTTCTCTAAAATTTACTAGTAAATTTAGTCTATATAAGAGTCACACAAATCTGAGTACACATTAGTGGAAAAACCAATGTTTTCTAATTTAATATAATAGTTTTTCTAAAAAAAAGAACTTATCACTAGTGTTAAATAAAGGACCATGAAAATCAAGAATGCTTAAAAACAGACATTTTTTCCCCACTACATATATAGATTGACCTCATGTATTTATATATAAAATAGTGTTTCTTAAAAGGAAAACTATCAAGAATGTAGCCCAGTATTCACAGTTTGATGAATCTGAAGCATGTACTTCCAATTGAGAGATACAATTACAAACAACAGTCTGCACAAAAGAAACAGAGAAAAACTGACTGAGGAGGCACAATAGAATTGAGTGTACCTTTCGAAACTGGAGCTGTAATCCAGTTTGTAAGAAAATAAAGAATGGAAGTATTGGCCTAAACGCCACTGAATCACAGAAGCCTAACACAATACAACACAAGTGACATCCTTTTCTCAAAGAGGAGCAAGGCTCATTGAGTCAGGCGATTCAATTACCCTCTCACCCTGAAAAGAACACCCCCTGTGCTGAGGTCCACTGGCAGAGCAGTGTGGGACAGCCTCCACTGTACACAGCCAGTAAATACCCAAAAAGCTGCAGGCTTCAAAGAACAAGAATCTTTGACCTTTTATGATTGCTCTGGTGATTCTCCAACAAAACAGTACTTACAATAGTTTCTTAAATGCCTGACAAAAGATTATATTTTCAATTAAATATCTTCAAATCTCTTATATTCATATGGAAATCTGTTTAAATAAATACCTAAGCACAATGCTTCATTAGGTAGTAAAGAATGTGGATAAATTAATGAAATGAAAAGAGGTTTTCCTAAAATAGACATGGTTCTGATCTTGTTTAAACATTTCAAAAACTCTTCAAAGAATATCATTATTCCCTCTTTGTTACTTGTCCTGTAAGTTTGTATAGATCTTGAATAAGTAAAGCAAATAATTCATCATAAGGTAACTGATTTTTCAAATATCTAGGGAAAAATTGGTTAGCACGATCTTCAAAGATCCACCATAATTCTCACATCACCAGGTCTGATATCAGGACAGTTAACTTGGAAACATTTTTAGTCAAAACATTTTAGGCCTCAAACTTTGGATATTTTTCTTCACTCCTTTTCTAATAAGATGGTTATAGAGTAAGATTTCATATATATTTCACAAAAAATGATTTGTTTCCATACATAAGATAAGTCTGTGATGATGAATATTTGGGACACCTGAAGTTTATAAAAGAGATCTCATCCCAGAATGCGTCTTCTAAATTATAAACCAAAAATAGAAAACTTATGATTTACTGCTATTTATAGGACTAAGTCTGATATGTTGAGCAGGTTGCTCAAATATTTTACAATATAATCCTATCCAATTGTCTTGTCTCTTTCCCACCATTCTTTCTCATGTAATTTAGGCCCTGTTCTACCAATGCTGATTTATTACATTTCCTCAAACCAGTTAGGAATTCATTTACAATCTAGCATTTCCACATGCTAAATACTTTTCCTGGGTTGCATGGATTGCATCACCAACCACCTTGAATTATAAGAAGTAATTTAGTGTTGTTGTTGTTGTTGTTTTTTAATGTGTGTGTCTTAACTTTTATAAACTTCTAAAAGAGTCACAGGGAGGACTCCTTGTTACCCAGAGGCCAGCACTATGCTTGGCAATTAGGAGATGTTCAATAAATAACATCAACAACAAAAAATGGAAATCACTTCTATAGTATTTACATATTGACTTAACAGGGAAATTACTGATTCTATGTCAACAAAATAATTCTTAAGTAATTACTACATTAGACACTTTTATATATAATTATTCAGTATATACACTACTTCATAATTCCATCATAATTGAAAATAAAGAAGTAAGAAATTTTCCCAGGGTTAATATTAAGGATTCATCTACAAATTCAACCCAGATGTCAAATCCTAATAAGTGTGACCCTGCAGATTAATGTCATGCCCCAACACCTAAGTAATAACTATCAATTCTTTTGAAATCCTAGCCATATAAATTTTTCTATCATTTCCCCCCCTAAAATATTTGTTATAAATAATTGATATATAAAGAAATGATCTTTATATCTAAGAAGGTACCTAGTTGTTGAAGAAGGACTTTGTGGACCTTTACTGACATTTAGAATATTAGGGGTTATCCTTGTAAAAGGAATAGCTGTTAACTTTAGGGAGACTTTCTTCAGCATTTGCTCATTAGTTAAAGGATAAGACAGTTGGCCAAGAGCTCACAGTGCTCTTTTCACAAAGACAATAGGTACTATTAATTATTTAATCAATCAACCATTCACTCAGTGAGTAGAAACCAGGCTCAGCCTTCCATTGACTTAAAAAGATAGAAAGATTAAAATCTCCTTTATTCTATTACTGATTATAAAAGCCTATTTCCTTATGTTTTTTTTTCTTTTTAGTTTCAACTCTGTCTCTATTAATTATCCCAAATCTTAAACAAATTAACTGAATTTCAGTAAAAGGAAAAAGTCCATCCCTTAATGTACCTTAGTATGCCAACTTAAAACAAAAGCACATTTTAAAATAAAGATGTTTTACAAGTTTGAAATTTGTTTTGATGATCAATGACAATTCCTATCTGTAAGCATTCTGGAAGCTTAAACTAAAATCTATTCAATAAATGCCTTGCATGAAAAAAGGCTGGGGTTGTGGCTCAGCAATAGAGTACATGCCTAGCATGCGTGAGGCGCTGAGTTAGACACGCAGCACCACATATAAATAAATAAATACATACATACATACATACATACATAAAGGTATTGTATCCACCTACAACTAAAAAGAAATATATTTAAAAATATTTTTTGAAGCCCATTAATTTCAACTATTTTTAAGTCAAAAAGCAACAAATAGCATTTTCATAGCAAGTAAATCACAACTTGGAAGAGCTTAATTAATAAAGTGTGCCACATTTGCAAGTGGCTATAGGTATCATATTTTAATGTTACAACAAAATTTACTGTTTTGTGATTTGACCAATGTAATAAAAAAGATAAATATCAAATGCTGTTATTAATTTATTGTACCACAATAAATCTGAATTTACCTTGTTTGCAATACTTGTGATGAATGATTTAATATCCAGATGAGTTGGACAGCTCTTCTGACAGGGGGCATCTGCACATTTCAGGCATCTAGGGGGAAAAAAATAACTGTGTTAAGATAACTACAAAGCAACTGACAGAATCTTTAACATATTTTTTACCTATACTCATTCAGAGTTAATGCCTACTAAATATAAGTAAAATCATTCTACTTTTAGGTACAAAACTTTTTAGGCAGTAAGGTAAATCTATAGTGTCTGTATTTTACCTTTTGCACACCTCCTGAGCACCACTCTGGCTAATAACTGTTCACCTTCTCAGAGCCTTCTAGAACTAATGTGCATCATTCACTTACTCATTTCCTATGTCAATCTTATTTTGTTTCCTTACTACACTGACCATGATTAGAAGGAGTAGTTCTTTCTAATAAGGTTTGCATATCTGAACATCATAATTGTTATACAGATGCAAAGGTAAATTCCTTTTTTACCACCTACAATCTTTTCTTCCTCTTTTCTTCTCTTCCTCATTCTAGCCAGCTCACTCTCTTTCCTACATTTTTCTAACTTCTTTCAAGGTGCATCTCATTTACATAACAACTGGGTTATGCAGCACTTGCTTCCCAGACCCACCCCACCATCTTCTGATCCAAAGCATTTATTTCCCCAACTGCCTTTCCTTCAGATGAAGAAAACACTTCAAACAAGGTCATGCCCCCTTCTAGTGGCAGTCCACATCCAATTACAGGTCAATGATGGGGTTAGAGACCTAGACTCCTTCCCCCCAGATCCTGGTCTGCAGGATCTAAAGAAATCTTAGTGTCCAATCCCACTTCCTTCACTATTCTACAGATGTTGACTTTCAAATAAAGCTTCTGAATTCCAATCCTATATCAGAATATTAATTCTGGTGAAATGACCAGAGCTATGCTCAAACTTCAGAGCTCCCAAGAACCACCTCGGAAGCTTGATATACATCATGCATTCCACAGCATGGCTCTGTTGAGTCTCAGCTATTGGCCGGGGAATCTACATTTTGTCAAAAAGACCTGGAAGGTTATTCTGACAGATGTAGTTAGAACCATATTTTGAGAAGCATAACGCTATAATTACTTCTTGAGGACAACTAAAACCACTGGCTAGAACCATCCTTTATTTGTGTATTATGTGTATATTTACTCTTTCACTAACTCATTAATGAATTTTTAATGAAACCCTGTGCTTTAGTTTGAGTGTGTCCCCCAAGTGTTCATGTGTTGGGAGTTTGGTCCTCTCCACGTGATGGTGTTAGGTGATAGTGTGGAAACTTTTTAAGAAGGCTTAGGGGGAAATAATTAAGTCACTGAGAGCTCTGGTCTCAGAAAGAATTTATATAGTTCATGTGGAATCCTGATTAGTTCTTGCAAGAGTGTTATCATAAATTAGCAAGCATGGTCCCGTCCCAGTCTCCCTCTGGCTTTCTGTCTTGCCATGTGATCTCTCTTTCTCACATACATTTTCACTGTGATGCCACCCATATGAGACCTTACCAGAATTTCACTGTTTGGATGTTCAACTTCCCAAACTGTGAACTAAATAAACTTCCTTTTTTGTTATACATTACCTAATCTCAGATAGTTCTTTAGAGTAACAGAATATAGACTAATACATCCTGTATGGCAGACCCTGGGACATAAAAATATAAAACTAATGAAAAGACCACCTTACTTCTGCTCTCATGGAACTTGAAGTTTGGAGAAAGTAGAAATAAATAAATAGATAGATAGATAGATAGATAGATARATAAATAAATAAATAAATAAATAATATTTATATATATATATATATATATATATATATATATATCATTGCATTATATACTATAATCAACGTAAATCAGTGAAAAAGAGAATGCTAAAGGAAAACAGGAGACAAAATAATCCTAGAGGGAGTCAAGAAAAGCTTATTGAGAGTAATAATACATAAGTGAAAGCTAAAGGAATGAACAGACCTTGCAGTAACAAATGATGGCGCATCAGAGTGTAGGGTCACTCAAGAGAATGACTCAAAAATAGAAACAATATATGTCAGGGATTGAAAAGAAAAGAACACACCAGGGTAAGTGAACTAAAGGAAGTTAGTCTGACTTAAGCAAGAATGGTCTTAAAGAGAAATTAGGCTGCAGATATACAGCTTAAAAAATGGACAGCTGTCTCATGTTTCAGAAGACCACAATTCTCCAAGAACTTTCACTGAGAAAGAATCCTACATTACTCAGTGACAAAGGTGACTAGCTAGTTCATTATCTATCAACTTCCATGTGCAAAAACCTGGGTTCATTTTCTTCAAGAAAACAATACCATTCTCTGTCACTCTTTTGTGAGTAAGAGTCCTTTTCATTGTCTGAACCAATTTCTCAGTACCTAATTAATATCTTGTTTTTAAATCTGATCTCTTTCCTCTGGTTTGTGCCCTTAGCCTTCTCTCTAAATTAAATTTTACACAATGAGAACCAAAGCCTTTTCATAAGCAATTGTCCTCTCTGAAATGCAGTCATTAAACCTCTCCCCTATCATTTCTCTAAATGGCATTGTTAGATTCACATCTATCATTTAGCTGGATTCCTATCTACTCATACTTACATTTTTTTTTTCCTGAAACACTGTCACTGAGCTCAAAAAAGAATTTCTCGAAAGTGTGATCCTCAGCATATATTGCAAAACAATGTAAAAAGAGGCATAGCCTATTTGGTCCATGATGTTGAATTGAAGTGATTCTTATGCGTGTTATTGTCATGTGGATAAATAGGTTAAGCATAAATCCATTGAAAGAATTTCCTATTAATGTAGTAATAACATGGCTAAAAATTTATCAAATAATGTGTTGTCTTAAGTATTTTTTTAAATTTATAAATCAGTCATTTTAACAGTTTAAAAAAATCTGCCACTACGCAAGAATAAAGATACAGACACTCACATGCACACAGACACACACATATACACACACAATGCTAGATAACATCATATAGATTCTGATTATCCCTAATGAAGTCACAAGTTTTTGCTTTTCTTTTTTCTAACACTCAACTTGAATAATAAGGCAATTAAAAAATAAACTTATAATGTCAGCAGGTATGAGTGAACTAAATTAATATGCAGCATATTTTTCTGTTCTTCAGAGAAATCTTAAATTCAACATAAACAGATTCACTTAACAGCACTGACAATGTAAGGATTTTTAGTTGTGGTTATTAAGCTTCTTTACCAAATAATTCTCCTTTTATTATTGAGCTAGTTCACAAATAACAGCTGTTGAAAATGTCAGATGTTAATGAGGCAGGGCAACGCAAACCTGAATTGTAGCATTCTTTTTTTCTTTGGTGCCATGAATATGCCAGAATGGGCAGACTCTGATAATAATACCATCTTGCAATTCTCTAAGCGCTCTGCAGACTAAAGTGCATCAGGCTGCCATTAATCCCACTTATCACTCTGACAGCTCAGTAATTACACTACTGCTATAGCCAGGTAGTCCTAATAAAATATCAACCACTGCACTGGAATGCATACTGGTGAGATGTTTTATTAAACTTGGGGGGGGGTGATCATCAAGTGACATTATTGTTGACCTATTTTTCTATTTGACAATAAATTATCCTTTGACCATGCCATAATAGATATTACAGAGAGCATTTACTATACCAAATCAGAAAGGTACTGCATTACAATGATGTAGGCAAATGGTGTAAATAAAATAGCAGAAATGCATGTCAGAATGTTATTACCTAAATTGCTTTAAATGATTGATACCATGAAAAATCACACACACAGTACTTAGGGGAATATGTCAACAATTATTGTAAACCACAGTTCTACATAAATTTTTCCTTGGAAGAATTATTTAAATTACACTTGTTTTTATCTTCAATCATTTAATTCCTCTTTTACCTTGCAAAGTTACTCTTTTATAATGCAATTTACTTTGAAATACATTGTTAGTCAAAAGTTCAGATAAACAATTATATAATATTTTAATCTCCAAGTAATTACACTTATACTAAGAGAAGTCTATTAGATTATTTTTAAAAATCAATGAAACATCTTAGATATTTTTACTACTGATAAACTTTTTCATTTCCATATTGTACAACTATAGATTTTATTAAAAGCAAAGTATATAATTCTTAATCAATGTTAATCTTTCATGATTCAACATGGCCATAAAAATATATGAAATCTTTAGCACAGCTACTTAAAGGACAAAAACTATTCAAGATATATGTATTCAAGATCTTTCTCTAGGGAGAGGGAATGATTCCTCTTCCCCAGTATCAGTGAGATTGGACAGTTTTACTCCATAGTATAACACTGAAACATATTATATTGAGTAATGAAATAAGCAACATTTCATTCTCAACACATCTGAGGACATATTCCTGCTTCTTTTATTGGCGAGCATCCACTGTATTTGGACCTGCAACCTATGCTTGTTAAAGAATTTAATACTCCATGAGTTTAAATGACTTAATTAATTTCTGAAACACCACCCACACACCCACACACCCACCCTACACACCCACATATACACACTAATCACACCTCACACACCCTCACTCATGTATCTAGATGGAAACCTTAAAAGTCATTTTGCACTGTACTGGTTTTGCTAGACATTGGTTTAATTGATTCAGCACTGTTTAATCCAAGTATGTATAATCTATATCAATCTACACATAACGGAATTGGGCAAGTTAGTGTTTAAATTTAAACAAATTTTATGGGTTCTTTTAGTTACACATAACATTAGGATTCATTCTGAAATAATTATAAAAGCTCACCACAATTGTGATGCCTTCACATTTTCGACAGCTGTTACATGATGCGCAATACACTTTGATCCTTTACAGGCCTTAGAGGGAACTGGGTGACAGTACTGACAGTTTTTATTATAGCTTTCCTACTACACAATAATCTTATTTTACCTGGACTATTTCCCCAGTAGTGTCATAAACTCTTTGATTTATATTGAGCATCCTTTCAGGCTTCATAGAAAAAGAACATTCTTTTTTGTAGTATATCCATACACCGTGTAAATTATCTTTTCAATTTTTGA